GCACCACTGTACCTGAAATGGCAAACCACTATTGACAGCTATTACTTTGCTCCTTCAGACCAGTGGCACGTTTGGATGAGAATGTCAAACACACATGTACGCACACACTGTGTGCTGTTCTGCAATTTTAGTATTCTGAATTATGGTTTGTATAAGTAATGGTTTGGTCTATGTCTGATTTAAATTGGCATTAAATAGTTGATCCTTTAATACCACACAGTGTTGGAGGTTAGAATACTGCTCATACTTCTCAATACTGGTGATCCCTCTTGGTGAAATGCTGCAGTTGTCAAAACAGTTTGTCCACTTTTGGGGGGCACATTTATGGGCCCGCACATGCCCAGTCAAACGTCTGCTTGCCTGTTTTTTTTGTTGGCAACTTCCAATGCTATGTCACCAGCCACTTCTAGCAGTCCAACATGTATCCAAAGAAGTTTGGCATGTGGTAACTGGAATCCATTTACACATGTGTAAGAGGAGTCACAGCTGATTGATGAGGTACTCGTCATATGTCAGCCATACACCAGATCACATACCTGGTTCATGGGGCACGCATCCTGCACATTGTCAGCAAGTCACAGCAACTCCCACAACATGCCTGGTGCATGACTAAAGGTCCAGTGGGATTTTGGCCCATGTGGGAAGTATATTTGAAATACTGCATATATTTTGGCAATTATCTACAGGATATGTAAGTTTCAAATTTTGCTCACTGGATAATGAGTCAAAACCCGACCTGAATAAAGGAGGTTACTCAGTTCATAGGATTGTGGCACATGCTAGATATTGTTGTTTGTGGAAAATGAAGCAGTTAATTGTCATATTAATTTTTTTTAGGCCATTGTGAAAGAGATTCCCTCTCAAGAAGTGGAGGATACGAACAAAATTACCACAGCAATTTTCTATTCCATCAGTTTGACTCAACAGGGCCTGCAGGGAGTGGAGCTTGGGACACACCTCATCAAGCGAGTTGTTAAGGAATTGCAGGTATATGTCAAAATTTATAATCTGAATATTGCACTACAATTTAATTTGGCTGTTTCTTTTCATGCTCTTACCATAGAATCCTAGGTGCTAGAATGGAATACATCAGAACTTGTTCTATACATAGTCAGACTATCAATCCATCTAATTCAGAATTTTCTGCATAAGTAGCAGCAGTGCTCCAGGAACTCAGAAAGAAGTAAAAACTACTCTTGCTTATTGTCCATAAATTCATTGCATATGCTTTAGGCGTTTACATCCTCTTGCTTCTTAGCAGTTGAAATCAGTAGCACAATATAGCAAGGCCCTTCAGTTATTTATCCTTCACTTATGATGGGCTGATTAATTAGGGATTTACAAGAAACGTACTTTTTGAGTATAAGGGTGAAAGCAGAGTTCTCAATTGTGCATTGGAGCTGGTAGGAATAGCCAATGACATGTTCTTACAGTCTAAGACCAGTAGCCTGTTCTAAAACTATCAATGCATGTTGTTGAGTAAAGGTTGAATGCTTTTGGGAATGGGCTTCCCCAATTCCTCCACATGAAATAGTTTTCAAATTTTTTGTGAGATGGGCATGAACTGCCGAACTATGGGTTCGTGGTGGTTCATCCTTTGGACAACCATGTCCTCACTGCTTCCCAGCCCTGCCCCACTCAGAGGCAGCGCCCCCGCTTCTCTGTCCTGCCTCCTCCAGGCACTCCCTCTCAGTGGGTGCCGTCTGGAGGAGTTGGGGCTGGGAACCACCAAACACTTGTGTGTCAAGAGGATACACCTGCACAAACCACAAAACCGGAAGTTCCTTCCTGTCTCTAAACGTTTTCAAATGTTAATTTCATACAGTGGAAGAGCAATGGTGATATTCTTGTTATTTTGTGTTTCAAAGTGTTTCTAATGTGATTTTAAAGTAATATGCCCTTAAAAACTTTGCCCTAGGACATAGTACCTGGCTATCCAGGAGTCCTGGTGGTGCTTACACCTCATGAATATTGAATGTGAAAACTGTCCTGTGATCTTCTAATGGCATCTGCCATGGGGTGACCCTTAGAACCTTCTTTGTAACACCTGGTCTAAATTATATGAGTTTGTGGGCATTATCTTCAGCATAGGTCCATGCCGAAATGTGTTTTGTGAGCAAGGCATGACTTTAGTTTAAAGCAGACATTTCAGAATTTTTCATATTAAAAGTGAATCCTGCTCATTTAAATGCCAAACTAAATTACTTGGTACTGCTCCATTTGCTATGGTTCATTCTCATAGATATTAATGTGTTGTAATACATTTCTCATGGCTGGATCTCAAATATACTTTGGGGAATAAACAGTGTAGAAAAAAAATAAGATATATCATTATTTGCTTTGTTTTCTCTCATCTGTTTGATTAATTCCAAATCACTTAATTTCAAGCTTCTGTAACTTTTAATTTCCTAAGAAAGAGCACATGTTAAGTTATTGCCATCACAGATATATCTGAATGTAGGGAGACATGCCTTGAATTTTCAGAATACATTGATGTATGTTTTAAACATTTGAGCACTAGAACTATATATGAATTGCAGTGACTGATTTGGGGTTCATTTAAAGGAAGATAATATGTGTGAGTAACATTACTGCTATGACACTGCTGTTAGAATTAAAATAAGCACATTGCAATAGGCTGGTGCTCTCTGTTGCAAACTCAACTTGGTTTTGACTGAGACTCATGAAGTGACTTCGGACTGTGAACATTACTCCATCTGCAGGACAGAGCAATGGATCTGCTGCTTTCTGTGTAAGACTGGTAGTTGTCTTATTAATATAAATTCCATATAGAATGTTTTATCCCAGTGTGGTGTAGGGCAGACATTTTTAGTGGGGGCTTTGGAATATTTCCTGGCACACAGACTGGAAACTACACCAGATTTGTTATGTAACATATACAACCCTAATTCAGTCTATATTTGTTTTATATTGTGTTTATGGCTGGGGGGCAAGAAAAAGTTTAAAATGGATAGTGGATAAAGCAGTGGATAAAGTCTAGTGGATAAAGTAGTGGTTCTCAACCTGGGTCCCCAGATGTTCTTGGATTACAGCTCCCAGAAATTCTGGCCAGCACAGTTAGTGGTGAAGTCTTCTGGAAGTTTCAGTCCAAGAACACCTGGGGATCAAAGGTTGGGAATCATTGGAATAGAGTGATGGACTATGACTCAGGAAACTTGGGTTTGAATCCCCACTCAGCCATGGAAACTCTATTGGGGGGTGTAGAACTGGTAAAACCACTCTTTGAACATCTCATTTAGCTTGAAAGCTGTGTTAAGCAACTGCCAGGATCCTGTTATTTAAACATCTCATTTAGCTTGAAAGCTGTGTTAGCCTAAGCAACTGCCAGGATCCTGTTATTTTTGCCTGAAGGCATAACTCCGTCAGCATATGAAACGTCACGAGGTAGGAAGTCACTGTACATTGGGTCTGTCCTGATGGCACATAACACACAGAAAATGTTTTAACCAACCTTTCTCCTGCTGGGCCTATCTCAACAACTTAAGGACCAAAAGCCACCTTTTTCCCTGAAGTCATATGGTACGCAGCTATTGATGTGGAAGAACCACAGCAGATAGCATTTTATTCCTACTGAGTGAAACTCTAATAGCATTTTATTCCTACTGAGTGAAACTCTGAGTAAGAACAGTTGAATAATGGCAGAATCGGGAGCATGCATACTGCTAAGAATGGGAACTTTGAGCCTACTTCAGTTATCCTGGCTTTTAAAGGTGTGAATCACTACATTTGACTAATGTGTTGGATGCTTATACTGAGCCCAGTCTTAGACAGTGGAAAGTAGGCAATATCCAGAATCCTCTTTTTTATGGCTGAAGGCATAACTCCATCAGCATATGAATGGTCACATGGTAGGAAGTCACATAAGTATTTTCTGTTTCACACCAGTCCTATGATTGGGTGCACAACAGCAAATGCTTATGCTGAGTTCTTAACTTGGAGCAATACACAGTGGAAATTTATATTGACTGAGTTACACTTGATTGATTTTTCGGCTGGATCCTGTCCTATGTCACTTGAAACTATATTTCAAAATTTGTGTATGGTGATCTTTGTGCATTTTAAGACTTTGTCTTACAAAGTGCTGTTGAAAAGGGCTTATATAAAGAAAGTACAGGGAGAAAAATACATTCCTTTTCACATGGATGCCCTCTGTTGGGCTATGATAGGTTATAGAAGCATAATTCAAAGTGCTGTTTCTAACTTATAAAGCCTAAAATGGCTTGGGTCTTAAGTTATCTCAAGGGCCACATCTCCATGAGTGTGCCTGGTGTCAAGATCAAGACCAGGAGAGGCCATTTCTCTTGGCCCCACCACTTTCATAGGTGCATTTGGTGGGGACACAGGAGACGGTCTTTTCTGTTGCTGCTCCCACACTTTGGAACTCCCACAAGAGGCCAGACTGGATCCATCTTAAATAGACCTTTCTCTGCAGGCAAGCTTTCCCTTAATGACTGGCTGCCTGAGCGGAGTTTTTATATGGATGATTGAGTCTTACTGCTTTGGTTTTTTTTTTGGGGTGTGTGTGTGGTTTTGTTTACCACCTTTTAGTGTGGCATTTGTTTGATTCTTTTTAGTATTTGTATACTTACTGTTTTTAGCCTTGCTGTTGTCTGAATGATGTAAGCCATTGAGTTCTTAAGGAGAAAGTCAGGGTACAAATACAGTATTTTTAAATAAATAAACAGAAGCATGATGAGTATAAAATTCTGAATCATTTTTCTGGAACTTGTTTTGTTTGTTTGTTTGCCTCCTTTGATGTTAACCACAGTTGGTATCGTTTTGATCTGCAGAATTAACTGGGTAGCCAAAGGCACTGCACTGTTAAAAATCTCAGCAGCCCTTCAGTACAATTCCTTATTTCTTCTACCTGAGGTAGCCTTCTTGTAACCTGCTGTGGTATTTGTATGTAAATGCCTTTGTAACCTCTGAAACAGCATCTTGGCTGTCACTTCATGAAAGAGCATCACCTATCTACAAGTCATGCTGTTCCCTCACAAATCTCAGGATTGGGGGCGTGCCATTGCTTTTGCAGACATATATTTGTGTGACAGCAGGCCTTAAATCTTGATTCCCTTTCCTTTCCTAGGCCTCCACAGAAATGAGCCAAAAACTTTGCAGTGCATCTAAACAAAGAGTTCTCTATCTTACGAAAGCATATGCCACAATAATTTTTAGTTTTTAACTGCCATAAGATAGTGTATACTAATCTTCATAGTCTGTATGATACGAGCGGCAAGGAAGCTTATTCTAAGAACAGTATTCTTTTCTAGCAAAGCTGTTAGTGATTACTGTCTTAATCCATAATACTCGGGATAACTTCCCAACAGAAGCATTGTTTTTGTGAGTTAAAAATAGGGGCATTGCTCACCTCTGCGCCACTTCTCTTGGGTAATATAATGCAACACTCTTTTCGTTGAGTCACCGATAATAGAAATGAATCTGCAACCTTCTGCAGAAGCAGCAACAAAATAAAACCAGCATCTGCTTCTTAATGGTGTGTGAGTTTCTGACAAGGAAATAAACATTAACAGATCTCTACCAGCAGCCCTGGAAAGTAGCACATCAATTTAGCAGCAGCATAAATGGCTATGCTTTACTGCATCTATTTATTATTTTCTTCAAGAACTGGCCACATAAGATAAGCTTCTAAATTCACCCATTCATCAGATATGAGATACTACAAAAACTGGGTCATTTTGCCAATTTGTCTTGTCATCTCTTAAAATAAAAAGAAGCACATGGTTGCTTTTTTATTCTCTTCTCCCACCTCTTCCCTCTGCCCCTGTAGACATTGCCTTAATAAATTATGCCAAGTTTCCTTCTTAGTTGTATAAACTTAAAAAACACTATGAAGACACAGATCATTTGTATGATAGGCAACCAAGTGTAGGAGGAAACCACAAAATGGAACAATTGGTTTGCAGATTAAATAGAAGAATGTCTTGTTGTGCTAGATTAAAAGTTGGGAATGCTAGGCATGGTCTCTGAAATCTAGTGGATAGAGAAGCCAAGTAGATGAGCTCTCCTTTGAACTGAAGGGAAGCTTAGCATTCTTTTTGCCATTTTTTAAAAGAATGCCCTTTATCTTTGTTTTCTTGGCTTAGAGAGGGGTTTGCAAGGCAGCTTCTGGTAGATCCATCTCACTCTGTTTTCTTTTCTTTGATGCAATTTAACAGATAACTTTGTGCTTTCAGAGAGACAGACAGAGAGAGAGAGAGAATATAACCTGGTCCTCTAATTTTGCTTCTAGGTTGACCTCAAAGCTAGCTGTCAGATGTTCTTTTCCAAAAAATGATTTGAGTTTTAGACAACGAAAATATTTAGCTCTCTCCCCCCTCACCCCCAGCACTGTGGCTTTAAAGCTTTCATTGCTTAGTATATAATAAGCTTGGGCTTATCATAGCATTGCTAGATCCTTCCCGGAAGCAACAAATGATCTGCTCAAAGCACAGTGTTTTCCCCTTGCATACATGTGGATTGTACTATTGAAACAAATACGCTACCCAGGTGAAGGGTACTTGTGCAGAATGTAGTCGTATCTTTCAGCTACATATTTCATCGCCATAGAAAAGGCTGCTTGCAACTTGAATGCCCCACTGGGCAGGACCAGTTTTCTATATTTTTTTACAAAGTCTTGACAGTTACTTTAGCTGCCAGCTGTTAAACAGGTAACGGGAACCTAGGTTTTCTGAATATTCTGCCACTAATTTGTCCAATTTGATATTCATTTAGAGGCTGAAACCACTTTCTTTCTATCAGTATGCAATGAGCATAGAGTAGGAAAAGATGAATTTTGTCTTTGCCAATGGTGCTGCAGCTGTCCATCTGCTCAGCTTCCAAATTTATGCTGCCAGGAGGAAACATATTTTTTCTCCACTGAACAAACTTATATCACTTACCTCAGTGTTCTGAAGGTGTAATGGCAATTTGATATTCCCAGATCCTTGGAGTTGTATCTGTTATCTGTGAGAGAATGGCTGATCATGGCTTTGCAGTATGGAAACTATCCTGCTGGGAATTTAATTTACTACCTCAGCCTCCGGATCTTGAGATGTTGGGCAGAGTATATTTATTTCATTAGACGGAAATGAGAAACGAGGGATTCTAAGCCCGAGTGTGTTCCTACTTGGGCAGGCATGTCTTTCAAATGTATTTTGAAATGAAATAAGGATATAAAACCTGTAAAAGCATGTTCTTGATTTTAATGTCGTCCTGCTCACCAATGCATGTAGTCTGTTCTCAAATCTTGTTTGAAAATGTGTTCTGATTAATTTCCGGGGGGGGGGGTTGTATCTTTTCCTGTGATTGAAATTTTTATCCACCTGAACCGATAACCAAATACTTTGGCACTTTTCTTTTCTTTCCTTTCCTTTCTATTTTCTCCTTTTCTTCTCTCTCTTTTCTTTTCTCTGGAAAAAAATGCAGATGGAATTTCCTCAAATAAAAGTCTTCTCTACCTTGTCTCCCATTCCGGGCTTCACCAAATGGCTTGTTGGACTCCTTTCCTCACAATCCAGGGAAACCGGAAGAAACCATCCCTTCACGGATCCTGAATACCAAGAAATCTCTGAGATCACAGGGGACCCCACTATTGAAATTCTGAAACGCCTCTTCACAAACAATGAGTGGGCGAGGTCAGAGAGATTGGTCCGAACGTTGCAGCCGCCACTTATGAGGCTCTGTGCCTGGTATCTGTATGGAGAAAAACATCGCGGTTATGCCCTGAACCCTGTGGCAAACTTCCACCTTCAGAACGGTGCGACGTTGTGGCGTCTGAACTGGATGGGAGACACAAGTCCCCGTGGCATCACCTCTTCCTGTGGCATGATGGTCAACTATCGCTACTTTTTGGAGGACACAGTTGACAACAGTACTATATACCTGGGAACTAAGCAGATCAAGGCTTCAGAACAGATTCTTTCCTTGGTCTACCAGTTTCAGCAGAACAGCAAACTGTAAATAAAGTATACAGTTTAAAGAGGAGAGGAAAAGAAACTTGTAAGTGAATAGGATGTTTTGGATGCTTGTGCTTAAAAAGATATAGTTGGCACACCGAGTCCAAATATCATCAGAATCCACTATTAAATAGATTGTGCTCTCCTTGTTGTGGTGACGTACTTTGACAGGCAGCAGGTTTACTGTGGATAATTCTTCCGGCAAACAGCAGAGTCTGCGTAAACTACCATGTTTCCCCGAAAATAAGACAGGGTCTTGTATTAATTTTTCTTCCAAAAAATGCAGTAGGGCTTATTTTCAGGGGATGTTTTATCTTTTTCATGTACAACTATTACGTATTTTTTGCTTCATAAGACGCACCTTTCCATAAGACGCACCATTTTTTTAGGAGAAGAAAACAGGAAAATATAATCTGTTTTCTTCGCTCCATAAGACGCACAGACTTTCCACCCCCCTGTTTTGTGGGGGGAAAGTGTGTCTTATGGTGCAAAAACCACGGTACATTTATTCAAATAAAGTCATGTCATCTTCTTCTGGATGCTGCACAATGCTGCACAATAGTGGAGGGGGGGATTTCATGTGACTAGGGCTTATTTTTGGGATAGGTCTTATTTTCGGGGAAACAGGGTAGCTTAATGAAGGGGTGAGCCAGTGGTGACTCCTGTGAACTGTGTGTTGTCCCTCACCTTGCTCACCAAATCAATAGCCTTGTTTAATCCACCTCTTCAAAAGAGCTGTTGAACACCTGAACGCTCTGACACATTAAAGGGAGAAGTAGATCAATACCAGAGTTCCTTGATAAAAGGTACAAGTGCGGAAGGACTTTCTGTCCAAATGCACAAAGAAAGCATCCCCAGCGCGGAAGGACTTTCTGTCCAAATGCACAAACAAAGCAGCATCCCCAGTATTTCACCAATAAAACGTTTGTTTTACACCTCCTTTCCCCACGGTTCTGTGCTGAATTCTTTGGTCGGGCTGTCTACTTCAGCATAGCACAAAATGGCACCACTGCATTATTATTTCTCAGCAATGGAACATTGAAACACCATAGCAGATGGGTGGTGTTATTGTGTATTTTGACTTGAGTCTAGACAGCAAACATGGGGAGTGAAGTGCCTGTACCTTTACAACAGTTTTGGTTTGTGGTTTCATAAAGGTGGTGTTATTGTGTATTTTGACTTGAGTGCTGTACCTGTACCTTTACAACAGTTTTGATTTGTGGTTTCGTAAGTGAAGTCAACAGTTCAAAAACTGAAGAGAAAAGAAATAGTGGCAAAGGGCTTTACAATGTTTATACCTGTTTTTTAAATACATGGGATGGAATTCTTAAACTTGGAAGTTTAAGTTCAAACCAAAAACAACATTGAAATGCACTACATTAAAGTATAATGTTTTCTGTATAAACAGGCCTTTTGTCTTACGTATGGTGCCGTTGCATCTGACGACTAAATCTGGTGTTTCCAGCAGATTCTGTTACATTCTGATCAGCCATTATCCCAGGGATCAGTGGGTGGATTTGCTGACATAATTAGAAGAATGTGTAACAAAGATGGAAAATATGGTGGCATCTATAAGATTGACAAACTCATTTCAGTCTGAGCTTTGCAACCCACTCCCTCAAACACATGGGCTTCTATTTAGAAAATAGATGTAAGTGTACGGTGCACGTGGTTTTGAGAATAGGGATCAAGTGTAATGGGGACACAGAATATGACAGTTGCTGGATTGCAACTTGTAATGAACTTTCAAAAGACAGTGGCATTATTGAGACAGATAATGAATGTTCAAAATATTGATTATATAACCATTGTGGCAATAGATGGATTAATTAGCTCCTTTGTCCATTAATACACAATAGTTAGGCTGTCACTTTTGCAGTGTATATGCATATTATTTTGTTTTCAGTAAGTTTTGGGTTGTACTGAAGTCAGAAATTTACCAGGGTATGGGAAGGAATAAGGGGAGATTCTAGAACCTGTGTTTTAGAACACATTTCTCTCATTTTGAGAGCTGTTATATATGTACATGTTTAAATGGAAAGGTAGGTGGAGGTGGGGTGCCCAATGATTTTATTCAATCTGCCTTCTGAATTTTAGTCTCAGATGGTAGGTTTAGTTATTTATTTAAAATACTTACAGACTGCTTTTCTGTCCATCAAGGCTTTTGGTGAAATGTAAAATATAAATTTGAACCATTGTTTAAGACCAGATTTAAAACATTATTTTAAAAATGTTTTAAAAAATGTTTAAAGAATTTTTAAAATCTTTAAGAAATTTAACTTGAGTTGTGAACACCAAAGTCCACACACAAGAATACAATCTAGGGTGCTGGTTGGAAATATTCTGCCTTTGTTTGGAAGGGAGTTTTGTAATCTTAAGTGCAGTTGCTGAGAACGTACTAACTTTAAGAAGTTGGAATGTTTTTGTTTCTGTGATGACATTAAGTTGTTCAGGCAAGTTTTAATCCATTACTGATTTCCCATCTCCAAAAGACTGGAGAGGTGCATGCTCATAAAGTCACTAAAGCTTGCCTAACGGAGTTTATTTAGCAGCTTTGTTCCTTGTACAATGAAATAGAGACCACCACCAATGCTTTATCCTGGGCCCATTTCTGCTTTCCATTTGATGCACTACCAAAGCATTTTTATAACTTACTCTAAGGTACATAAGAAGGTCACCCATTCCCACATAGCATTTCACTCCTTCCCTTTCTAGTTTGGTGTTCATGTGAGGAGTGGGGCCCCAAATCCTTGACAACTCTGACCTGAAACTTTATTTGAAATCTCTTGACTGCAGTTGACCTAGCAAATAAACACAGGTTGACTGAATTGCTTTCTGGTGATATAAGCAAGACCTGCAATGAAATGTTGCAGTATGGGATGCTCTTCTTTCGGGAGCCTGGCAACCAATCATGTACTCTTCTGGGGGACTCCATTCCATTTCCCTACCTCTAATTTCATCCTTTGGAAATCAGGGATCCTGAGCATGTTCAGTCCTCACTGGCAATATAAAGATACATTCCAAAAGATTTTGCTATGAGGACATATGATTTTGAGTTACTTCCTACTTGGGGTAGCAAAAGCAGTTCCCAGTGTGTACTGTGAAGTTTCAGAACAAAACTGTATCTTTTTCCTCCCTCCAGTCTTATTTATACCGGGTCAACTTTGACCTTCAAAATATGAGATAGTGGAATCAACTTTTACTGTATATTATTTAACCTGAAAGTTGTATTTAACAGTGAGGGCTGCAGATCAATTTGAAAGTTGGCCATTTAAAAAAAAATCTCTTAGTGAAATAGTGTCATCCCAGCATGAATGTCTTTTTGAATCATGGAAATAATCATTTTTATATCACAGTGACAGCATTCCAGCACCCCAGTAATATCTGCAAAAAAATACAATACAATATCTGCAAAAGAAACACACAAAAGCAACAAACTAAAAATTATGAACAAAATTTATAGTGCAATTAAATACATTAAAAAGTATTAAATGAATCCTCTGTATAGATCTTGGCACACCCAGGAATGGGAGTGAGAAGAATTGTTTGTACTCTTAAAAGCCCTACAAATGTTTGGTTAAAAATAATCTGCCCTTCAAAATAATTGCAGTTGGTATCATTAACTCCAAGTGACTCCACTGAGCCTTTTGAACTAGGTTTTTACTTTCCCCCTGATCATTGATGACACTTCTTCATTGCTCTTCACTGTTGTGGGCTGGTCACTTGACCAAATCAGCATACTCCCTTTGGGCCCTATTAAATAGGTCTTTGCAATGTGAGGGTTGCTGAATTAAATTCCTTGAGCACTTTAGTTGTCCCATTTTGCCGAGTTGGCTAATGGGTTGTCATAGCATTTGGTGGTAGAATTGAATGAGTATTTTTACTGTACATCTCACTTTTTGCAGGCCTGGAAGGAGAAAAACTGTATTGGTTCAGCCACTCTTCTACGTTAAGTGTGACCTTTTTATTTCATAGGAGAAGGTCAGTGGTGAACTTTTGTCTTAAAGAACAGCTCAAGAGTCAGCTGAAGAATTTCTAATATTTTACAAAACATAGCCTGTGAAGAGATGTTTTTTTTAAATCAATAATTTATATTTGGGCAAGTTTTAAAAGTATTCAGAGCTCGCTCTCTCTCAAGAGCTAAAGTACTGAGCAATCTCACCACTTACGGTAAGAATACAAATGAAGTCTGTAATAATTTGGCTGAGGGAATCTCTTATCCAAGAACTGACGTGAGCTAAACCTTTGCTTTAACCATTTTTGTGTTCTTAACATAATTCTACAAACCAGTATGCCATTAAGCTGCAGTGTTCTATATCTGGCATTCTTACAATTGCTTATATTTCCAGGACACTGAAAAATGAATCAAGTCCCATATCAGATTAACTGCTGGGTATATGTGCACTTTAAAGCATTTATACATCTGCATCTGCCAGTCAGGATTAAGTTATGTATGAAGTAGTTTACTGCAACATCAGGCTACTGGTCAGTTTGCCAGCTTCTCTCCAGAATCTAGATCAGAGGCTTTCCCCACCTCTTCCATAGGTGATCCATTTAAAGAAGGGATATATTTATGACCTTTCTGAGGTGCCCCATCATCAAGGCTTCTCCGTGATACACAGAAGAACAGCAGTAGCAGCAGCAACCAAAATACTTTAACAAATGAACACATTTGCTGATCCATGAGCTTTATGTGCACAAAGTGTGTTTTTAACCACCGAGGTATAACCAGGTGCCCACTTACTGCAAGTCATGGACACAGCAATACTCACTGTGACTCGTGGTGGGTTAGGATTAGCCTGAAGTGTCTTCCTAATTGCCCAGGATCTGTGTTCATTCTACCCATTGCTTTGGGTTCACCAGGAAAGGCTTTACTATTGCTCCTTCTTTACAACTTAGACCTAGTGTAACTGATTCTCCTGTTCATGAGGGGGTTTGGGAGGAAAAAAAGAAATATGCCGGAAAAGGAGAAGCAAAATTGCCTCCCGCCTTGAATCATTGATGTGGCTTCAGTTGTCGGAGATGATGAGCCACTTAGCACCTTCTCCTTCAAGTTTAGACTGGCCTCATGAAAGGATTTGGAAGACAGTACCTTACGGACCTTGTAATGAATAAGCAAGATGGAATGAATCATTGCCTCCTGCACTGTCAGCGGTGGCCTTGAGTGGTTATTGGCATAAAGTCTGCGAACCATCATTATGTAGGATTATTTGTATCTCAAGGCCAGATGTGGAGGTTGGCCTTGGAACTACTGCTGTCATGCTCTTAGATAGGTGTCTCTAAAATGCTGTTGCTTGGAACTACTGCTGTCATGCTCTTAGATACTGTAGGTGTCTCTAAAAGGCTGTTGTTCATCCAGGAGAGAAATGACATCGGGCATGTCTGTAGGCCACAGCATGTCTGTTTACGAATGAGTACCTCTCTCTGTCTCTCTGTGTATCTGTGTGTCTCATGGCCGTCTCAGGAAGGATAACACACTCTTCAGCTTTCAAAGTGAATGATAGCACTGGTCTTGAACAAAGCTTTTATTCTTAGTGGGGCAAATCCTCCCGGGTTTGCAGAACTGTTCTGCTTGAAGAAAAACACGTCCCACCCCCTTGCCTGAAAGCAATAGCTATGTTTTCTTTTTCTTAAGGTCTGGTATAGCTGATAAACTATTCATTCTCATGCTTCTAGCAAGCTGGGGAGAGTGAAAGGACGAACTTTCAGTTAAAAGGCAACTGAAAGTCTTGCAAGTCAAGTATTTTATCACAGGTGACCTGGAATGGGTATAGAGGTGAGGTTTAGCTTAGCTAGAGGGGAATGAATAGCATGCTTGCCTCAGCCGTATTTTATTAGCAGCAGGTTTACTCTTATGCCCTACTTCTAATGCCAATTTTTGCCTTTGTTTTGGATCCCCTCTCCCCCCCCTTTTTTTTACTAGGTCTTGCCTAACTCCCCACTGTCCAAACCAGCCCAAGCCACACGGGTGTGGAAACGGATTATTAATCGTTTCGTTTTAATATTCCCCCCAAAAGAGCACACAGCAAAGACGGGGGGAAAAAGAATACTTGGCTGTACAAGAGAACAATACTTATTATAGACCACTTTGATGCCCCCATCTATCCCGGTGCATGATATTAGTCATTTATTTCCTTTATAGTCTGCCTTTCTTAAAAGAACTCAAGGGAGTTCTCTATGTAATTTGAAAATGAATGTGGTTGAAATGAATGTGTTGGAAGTTGCAGTTTTTAAACACAGTTAAAAATTTATCATGTGAAAAAGGAAACTGATTCAAACCCGCATCAACCAAAAGGACATCAACTCCTATGGAAAGCCCCCTCCTTGTCAACTGGTCCATTGCCAGAAGTCCCTTCTTTAGGGAGTGGTCAGTTGCATGCTGTTTGCTAGTGAAAGGGCTACAGG